TTCCTATTTTAAACAAAAAAAAAAAAGACAATCAATTGAATTCCAGAAAGTTTTGAAAATTATATGACTCGAAACGATCAATTTGGACTGTGAAGCTTTTGGGATCTGAGGAAGACGATTGACCTTAGGGTTATTGATTGGTTCGAAAAGCAAAGGAAGTACCAATGGCGGTGCGCAAGGCGACGACGTCACCGGACTGAGCAGCGGCGGCAAAGTCACGGAGGTTTGAGGAAAGCTCGAAATGGCTTTCGTAGTCAACACCATTTTTCTCGATAATAGTGTCAACATCGTCTTCTTCCATCAAACCGAACATCTGCTCACATCGGTGAATCCAAGCGGAACTTTGGATTATCTCGTCGCTCGATCTCGTCGCCGTCGCCACTCTCGAGAGAAAGAGATAGAAAATTATGATTAATTTATGAAAGGGTTATTATTGTCTTTTTCCTATTAATGATCTAGGTATTTATGAAAATGTCCTTTGAGTGATGGTAAAATTGAATTGTGGTATCATAAAAATGCTATTGGTACAATTGTCCCAAAAAAAAGTGTCAAACAAAGGGATAATGAAACTTACCACATAATACAAAAGTAGTGTCAAACAAAGGGATAATGAAACTTAAACTGGCTTATACTATAGAGAACAAGCAATTGATCTACGAATAATCCGAGTTAAATTCGATATCAATTGCCTCAACACCTAAAATAATACTTATACATCTCAGTTAGGTAGTTAAAATGTTGAATCTAGTTTTTGAATATGAATTCCAAATTTATATAGAATCAATTAACAGAAATTGAATAGCGCCAGACACAAGAGCATAACCCAATAAACACTTCATCCTCGTTGTAAGATTTCTGAACAAGTTTAAGAACTAAGATTAGGGTTGACACTACCTAACATGTTTCATTGTTTTGGACAAAGCAACAGTTTAATCATGACAGAAAATAATAAGAAACGCGCAATTTTAACACTAACCCTGGAAATTATAGGATTCGTTTCTTTAAACCAAAGAGTCTGAGAAAAATAGATAAAGATTATAGAATCCGGCTAAAGCCAAACAAAAACTGTCTCTCCATTGCTTAAACCATAAGATCGATTCTTTCAAGGTAAACCAGAACCAGATGGTGCTGCTGCGCCGAAACCACCTGCACCACGGCCAAATCCAGGCCTACCACCACTTCCCTGTTAACACAACCAACAATCACATACGCAACGTTAAGACTCATCAACTACTGACAAGACAGATCATTTGTAAGAAAATCTCATATGCTTTACTACTAGGGATGGTTAGAGAGAGAGAGAGAGAGAGAGAGAGAGAGGTTTACTTGGAAAGAGGGCTGGTAATCAGCAGGAGCTCCACCCTTTTCACCTCCAACATCACCACCACGTGGCCCACTACGGTACCCTTCACGGTCACCATACCTTGGACGGTCTCCATCAAACCTAGGTGGTCCTCTGAAACAAAACCCACCATAACCATATTACTAAATCAAACATGTTACAGCAGACAAAACCCAAAAAGTCTATAAAACTTACCTTGGACGATCACCAGGTGGGCCACCAAAGGGACGCCCAATGGGCTTAGCAGACTTCTTCAAAGTCGCAGGAACAACATCAGAAGGAAGGTTAAGATAAGTTCTCAAAAACTCAATCCCTTCGTTGGTCAAAAACCAGTAGTAATGCATCCAAGCAAACGTCTCCCTAACATACTCCTTGGATTTGAAACTCTGCATGAGCTTAATCACTTGCAAGTTTGGTACTGACTCAATCAACGGATGCTTTGGGAGATTGAAATCCTTCTTCGCAAACAATACTCCTTCTGTGAAATCATTGCAACAGTTACTTCATAATCTTAAAGATTCAAACTTTATGAAAAACCCTCGAGAGTTCATTAGATCTATAGCCTAAAAACAAGTATAAAGCTATTCAACCTAATTGGTTTCAAAGCTATTAAAGACATTAGGTTTAGATAAGAAAAATGACAAACCTTTGAAAAGGTACTTGCAGATCTCTCTGCGATTGGTCTCTGTGATAATCTGGCAACATGACGAGCAAAGAACACAATTAGGACATACTTGGTTAAGTTTTTTCATTACATAATGTAAAAACAGAGAGTCTATACCATTGTTTTGTTGGTAGAGCTTTCGCTGCAACGAGACACAGAGGTTCTTTGTTTTTTGTTTTGTTTGGGTCAAAAGAGGCAGAGAGAGCTTTAGCTAAAGGAACCTAGGGTTTTCTGTAGATACAAGATTATATGGGCTTTTATTGGGCCGATAATTTTTTGCGGCAAGGCTGGCCTTTTTGGATAGTTAATTTAGGTCATACCGTTCCAAATTCATTGGCTGACAAACTGTATTAGAGATTGAAAGGGTAAATAGGATCCAGTCATCCAGTACAAAATGAACGAGCAAAGTGAGAAGAGACTATACAGGTGTTAACCACATGGACTGCATGTTATATTGATCTAGCTGTTTTTTTCCTTTCAATACTATTGTAGTCATGGACGAATCCAAATATATTTGCACTAATATTTAATGGATGTAATCTTCCAAATTGAAGTAAATGCGTATATGAATATAGTTTTTATAAAGTTATTTTAAAAATATATTATGGGCGGTTGGATTTTCTTTTTGATTACCATGCTTTTATTATATTAAAAGAGAAGTCACAACTTCTATTCATATGTGATATATTTTTAAAATGAATTTTTTTCAAAAATCTTATTCCATTTATTTCTTATTAACATACCGACATCATTACGATATCACATCTTATTTAATCAACACATATAACAACTTCACCTATAATAATGTATTAATTAATTTTGTAATTAGTAGTCTAAATTATTTGAAAATAACAATATAATTATTTATAAAAAAATTCTATATACTAAAATTATAGATGCTAAATTATATATTTTAAACACAACCAAGAAATATAAATGATCCTAGACAAGTATCTATTTTATTGTATAACTAAATAAAATTTAAAAATATTTTGCTTTACATTATGTATAGCATTAAAATGTAAATCATATATTTAAAATGTTTACGCTAATATCAAAGTTATAGGTTTATAATATAGGCAGAAAAAATATTCAACAGTAAAAAGGGTTAAAATCTTTGTTAGATTGAGAAATGTAGATATGTTTTTTTCTAAAAAAATATATGTTTTATGATTTTTGAGCACAAGATAACTGAATTACTAATTAGTAATGATTCATATGATTTTGACATACTATATTGTCCCATTTATAAGATGTATGTTGTTTTAATAGATAAAAAGATTTCTATATTATGTAAATCCCAATTTAAATTTATATATGTTTGAGTTACATTACATAAAAACTTAATATACTTTAAAATTTAACATATTAAAAACAAAAAGAAAATATTATTTAATATTCAATCATTTATTTTATCATTTCTATATGATCTAATACTAAATTATTAAATATTGTTGTTTATGAATATATTAAATTTGTCATAAAATTTAAAAAATTACTAAAAAATAATCATTTTCTTACTACTACTTATAACTTAAATTGAAGTTAGATCCATTTATTAGATTTAATAATAGAGAAGAAAATGTAAAATATTTTTTAAATTTTTGGAACTTTGCATATATTAGTTTGTCAAATAATTGAACACAAATCAAACAATATATATATATATAATAAGAAAGAACAAATATATGTGAGTTTAAAATAATTAATTAAATAAAACAAACAGATTATAAAATTTAAGTGTTTAAAAAGTAATATAAATAATTATATATATATGTATACATAAAATGAAAATAAACACCGCACGTGCGGGTCAAGTTCTAGTTTATATTATTATTACTAACACATAAAAATTGCACATCAAGCAGTCCATATCAAACCTTCATTTTGTTTGGCACATACACATTGCAAAACCAGTTTTACAATATTATACTTAATTATAGAATACCTGGTTTCAAAAAATAAATATACTTAACGATGTGCAGGAATTTACATAAGAACTAGTTATTGTAGTTTAATAGTTTAGTTAAAGTGGTGAAGAATTTGCTATATGAATTGAGACCGTAGTTCTAATCCTACCAAATATGAGGACTCTCCACTTAGTCACTAGAATTTCGCTATGTTTGCAAATAACATTCTAACCTTGCAAATTCCAAAACCAATTCTGACTCATAGATTTGGAAGGTCATGAGCTGAAAACACAAAATGATCAGAAGAAAAGAATAAAATGTTTAGCCAATTTTGTAGGAACTCCGTTCTCATTTAACATGTTTTATCTGTTTCTATGGTTTCGTATCAGAAGAAGGGAATAAAATTAGATGAATGTGCAAATGCCCTCATAGCACATGCTTAGGGCTGCCTTTACCTCAAATTCTGATCCGGTAACACTAAATAGTATTCCTCTAACAGGTTACTACGCCAGCCGCACTCAGGTGAATAGTGTTTTTTTATAGTGTTATTAGCTAATACTCAAAACTCAAATATCTGAGTGCACGAATTCATTAATAGCGTCCAATGAATGTGTGGGTAAGTTCTTGACAACAACAAAAGAAGAATGTGTGGGTAAGTTAAAATGGGCACGGCTGACAATGGAGGAATATGGACCAGGCCAGGGTGCTGGACGATAAGGACATCTCGACTAAAAGTTGAACCAGCCTCCGCGCGTGGGTCCTGCAAGGGCTGGTCCCTGTTCACAAGAGTCATGCATGTACTCTCTCTCAAGGAAACACCTCTTTCTGCTTTACTACTTACTACTCCCTCTTTATTCCTCCATTGTTACAGCTTCCACATGAATCATGTCATAACAGATAAAAACATAACAAACAAAAAACTGTACAATATCAGGAAATAACAAAAATCTTATATATCGCTCGTTTTTTTTTCTGTATCTTTCCTCCTTGTTTCTTTTCATCTACGTGTTTTAATACGTGTGTATATCAATCACTACAATTATTGTACTTTCATCTCCTTAAAGTTAAAATAAAAACATACTTTTGTCATCATTTCTTTCTAATAGACCTTCCTTTTGTTACCATATCTTCTCTTTTTCCTGAGAGCGAATCTTAATTATTTTATTGCATTAGACTATTATTTCTAGATGTTCAGATTTTTCAAGTAACTACTGGGAGACATGCAATAATGAAATTTGTTGCATTATATAGTTTCAGTAGACAGTAGGTCATCAGTCATCATAGATCTATAAAACATATATATCTGTAATGATATATTATATTAACGAATAGTGATGATACTCTTATCCATTTTACATATTTTAAATCCACTAATCTGTTTTGAAAGTTACCTAACATTCAGGAAAAAATGAATTCTAACGCCTTTTAAATTCAGGGTGAGCCGTGAGAGTACTAAATAAATGCAAGCACGGTGATGCGTTTGAATACCAAACTGAGATCAAGGATTTGCTGGTGTATTTTTCGATATCCAAAAAGTCATATCATGTACTTATATTACAAAATAACTAATTTTTGTGAATTTTAAAGAAATTGTTACCTAGAAATAAGGTGACGAAGGCAAGTCACAAAAGAGGTATTCTGGTTAGTTACCACCAGCAAACTGAAGCATCCATCATCCTTTCCAATAGACTGACTCTAATTGGTCTAAACCACTATGGCAGAATAACTACCGGAAAAAAAAAAGAATATAACTCCAATATCTAATTATTGCACTTAATTGATGATTACCTCCATTAATAATTTGTTCTAGAAACTAATGGGCTCCTAGTATATATTACTGTGTATTATATTCACATGGAACGTGCCTATATATAACGAGAATATGATTCCCTAAGATTCATGCATAAACACGAATCAAATCCGGGAATTTAAGCTGGATCAGGGAACGTTATTAAGTAGGTTAAACTCCAACATGTAGGAATAACTACACTATAAATACCTAAAGCCTGAAGTTTTGGTTATAAAAAAAAAAAGAGAAAAGTCTTATAAGTTAGAAACCTGATATATAATATCAAAAGGATCATTCGACTTATGTATTCTACCTCCACCACACATTTGTTATGTATGTGCATGTGTATATATGTACACATAGTTTATCTCAATAGATTAATGTAAGAGGAGGATTAGGTTGGAATATTGATCTTTCAACATTGTTGGCTTGGATGCTTTAGAAAAAGGTTTTGCCTTAGAAATTTCATTTTACTCGACTTAATGATATATTATTGCTTACGATAACATTAGTGGACACATTAAAGAATACTATAAAAACAGAAATGAATAAACTAAATATAATAAGAAGAAAAGAGGAAGAATGTGGCAATGGGGAACGTAAAGGGAAGTGATTGGAAGCTAATGGAATATCCGTGTATTCTTAGACATGGTGGAAGCTGACGCTGAGTACCAAACCCTCCCTTTACGTATACTCATTCTATTCTTTCATTTCACAGCGAGTATATATTCCAAATAGTTCACTACATAGTTATCATATGTTTTTTAAATATGTTGTTAAGACTTCCACATTTGTTTACAATAATAATATATCAATGATATATGCCAATCTCAGTAATTTTAACTGCAAATCCATGAAATTAACATACATTTAACTTATAAGTTATATATATAGGATGGCGACTTTTATTTGTATTTGGTAATCATATTTTGCTTTTACGATCCATATACTCCCTCTGTTCCTAAAAGATGTATATTCTAGTTTTTTAGCGTTTTTAATAAAATACAATAAATTTGCATAGTTTTTTTGTATTTATCTTCTTTCCATAATTTTAAATCAATAAAAATCAATTAGTGTAATTAAGTTTTTTGAAGTTTACAATTAGTTAATAAAACATACATTGAAAATGTAAAAAATGGATCTTTTAGAAATAATTTTTTTTTTTCTATAATACGTAGCTTTAAGAAATGGAGGGAGTATAATATTTGTGAATCAGAGATTAACATGGGAATTGTGCATTACTCAGGAATTGATGTTTTTAGTTAAACTGGTTTAACTGCCAACTCAGGTGGTTTCAAATTTGTTTTCTTATATGTAAATTCGTATTTTTTTTCTGTTTAATCTATAAGCGCTGCTTCATATATTAGTTATAGTTAAACATATTTCCTGTATTCATAATTGTTTGTTTTCCAGAATAGTGAAGTTTGTATACAAATTGCCACAACAAGATTATTAAACAATTCTTCACTTTAACTTCAACCATTATGGCATTTTAAAGAGTATTGAATCAACCACTAAACTTAAAACTTTGTTAAAGTACTAAAGATGGAGACATATATTGAAAAAAAAAAACTGAAAACCTACTTAATTAAGTTATAAGTATTCACCCAAATATAAGTATTCACCCAAAACGAGGAAAAACCCCAAAAGCATGTAAATGCAAATGGAAAGCTACATCTATATACCAAGAACTGAACTTGTTCCCTTAATCAACAATATATAGATGATTCCCTAGAAAATTAATTATGTTACTACTCACTCATAAAAAAAAACAGTACATGGAGTATAGTTTAAGAAAAACTTCTCACGATTATACTCAAAATTGGATTTGGAAGCATTAATCAGGACCACAACATGCCTGAAGACATTCAAATTAATGTTTTATCAATAGACTGCTTTGAAAAAAAATACCCTCCCGCTGTCGATTGATATGCTGAAACAGATTAAAAGTATCATATGCTAATTAAGAATGATAAACGTAATAAATGAAACGTCATACACAATCCAGTGCGTTTAACAATAACTAGAGTTTCACCCGCACATCCGTGCGGGTATATTTTTCATTTTATAAATATATAACTAAATTTTTTTAATATATAATTTATATGTTAGTTTTAATTATAATCATATCTAGTAACGAAATAAAGAAATACTTATTTTATAAAAAAAATATTTAAAATTTTTGGTAAGATCTTGTTAGTTTTTTTCAACAGATTTTGTTATATTTAAATTTATTTATTATTAATGTTCTTATTAGTTATTAAGATATTGTGAAAATCATATATATTTAACTGGTTAATGTAACAATAAAATATGTCAATTAAGTAATTAATAACATGGTCCAATATGACTTCTAAATAGTAGATAAATTTGGTACTTCTCTTTTAATAGAGAAGATTCCCTTTACTTTCTTCTATAAATGCCCCTCACAACACAATCCCTTCTCACACCACTTTATTAACTAAATTAAAAAGAAAACATTTCATTTTTTCACTCTTAGAAAAAAAAACATGCAGACAATGGAAAGAAGACAATATTACCAAGAAAACAACCATAACTCTTCCATGGTGGTGCCTCACTCTCCGTGGCACTCTCCGGTTCCTTATCTCTTCGGTGGTTTGGCCGCCATGATGGCTCTCATCGCCTTCGCTCTTCTCCTCCTCGCTTGTTCTTACTGGCGACTCTCTGGCTCGGCTGAGAGAGACGTCGAGGCAGGAAATGATGGCAAATCCGACGGTGAAACTCACACGGACAAGCCCACGGAGAGGCCGGAGAAGTTTCTAGTCATCATGGCCGGCGATGACAAACCAACTTACTTGGCTACGCCGGTGAATAGGTCTGACCACATCTGTACTTGCGGCGATCATAAGAAAGAAGTGGGTATTGATCAAAAACAGATCAATCATTACGGACTATGATTTGTTAACGGGTCCGGTCGGCCGGGTCATAGTTATGCAGACCTTATAGGTGCAGATAAGATAAATTTAAGTTTTTATAACTTTTATTTAGTTATCTTTTGTCTGATTAAGCGATGTTTATGCCTCGTTCGTATGGTTTTGGGTCTTTTAATTTTTTTTTTGGTGTTGTAGTAGATTTCTACTATTTTTTTTCGTTTGAGTAGATGATTAGTAACTACTATGATGCTTATGAGCTGCTTAGCTACATATATCAGTTTGATTCATGTTCGATTGATGCTGATGGTAGTTCGGCTTAACTAGAGAATCGGCTTAAGTGGTCATCAAGTGAAAGAAAATTGAAGTGAAATTAGTAACAACGACTGAACGACACGTGCCAAACTGATCTTGATGGTGTCGTCGTTGCGGCGAGCCGAAGTTGTTAATTATAATCGTTGCATTTCTACTCTTTAATTCCTAAATAGATTGATAACTACCAACAAGTTTTATATATAAATAGCCCTAAATTAATATTTTTTTTCTTTTCTGTACATCTTTATAACCATTCACTGAAATGTAGAAGCACTAACGTTATCGTTGGACATAAATTATTATCTTTTGGGTGAATCAGTACAATGTGAATAGTGACTACAGAGACTGGAACATATGAAACTGTAGATTTTCTGTTTCAGTACGGGACAAGTGGTCAATGGTTGTGGCATATGTGTACGTCATTTCCTGTATGTGTCCTAGTATGTTTATGTTAACATATGTGACAATCGAGATCCCAAACAAACGCAAATTAAACGGAAAACTCAATAATTGTGAAAAGCTTGTTTTTTTTCTGTTTGTTTTCCAACTACATCTTTCTACCAAAATATAATTACTTTTTATTTTGGAAGCAAAAAATACAGATTTTTCTGACTCACGAAAACATATTTCCCATTGATCATTTAGTATCAAAACTATTAAAAAAAACACAATGTTTGGAATGGAGAAGAAAATCAATAGTTGATAATCTCTAACTCGATTCCTTAAACACAGAAAATTGCAAAATTACAAACAAGAATGAATGTAAGGAGGAAGTGGAAATCCCTTGTATTACAATTTAAAAATTATGAGACTTTCCCTTTTGGCTCCCTTATCCCGATATATCATGTTGTTAGATTGATCATGTGTCAGTTAGTAAATGGGGCGGGTGTCTAATAACGATTTTCTTTGGCTATATCCAACCTAAGAAAGAAGATAAAATTCCCAGATAGACTTGAGACATATTGTGCCAATTTGCTGAAGATTACTGAGGATCCAGCATATTGCTTCATATAGAGAAGAGAGATACCTAGGGACGATGTGGTCTTCCTCAAGCTGCACCTTGAAGTCACAGTGGGCCGTCTTAATTGATATCCAACTATTAGAGACCCAATAAATAACTAAATGCCCAACTTATGAAAAACATGTCTCTTGTAATTTCCTTTATCTCACATAACAAAAGAGACACTAAGAATATTCTTAGATTTGGCCTTTATTCCACTAAACAAAAATAATAAACTTCCAGGATATATTTCAGTCTATATATTGAGGGTGATTGGTTGGGTTGTAAGTAATAACTTTAGCTTTAATTTCTATCTACAACCATTTAAATCACCAATCATGCTTTAAGTAGTTTTTAAAGCTAAAGTCAAAAAAATGGAAAAGTGGTTGTAGGAACTCTATTTTCTAAAGCAAAAAATTATTGCTGTAGGATTGTTGTAGGAATATCTTCCTTTTATATTTTTTTTTCATTTAATTTCTACAGCTACATTAGATACAACTACATCAAAAACATCTACAGTCTAAATTCTACAGTAAAATTTTTAAATCTACAGTTTAACCAATGCATACTGTTTGATTTTGCAAGAACTCATTCATATATGAATTACATGTTACGTATACCATAAGAATTCATCATTATCTCTTCCTTTTTATATAAAACTAGGGGGTTGCTGGCGCAACACGCCGGGTATAGATGTTTGACCAAACAAAAAAAATAAGAATCATAATTTTGTTTTTTTTGATTTATAAAATTTACTTTGGGTTGTCTAAAAATGAACTGCTTGCAAAGAATAGGTCACAAACGAACGCCGTTTTTCTGTTTTAGAAGGAAGTTGTCGTAGATGTAGTGTTTACTACGAATTCTCGTAGATGAAATGTGATAGTTGATGATAGTCATTCATATATAGTTGAATTTGGAATAAATTTATTTTTAAAATGTAAATAAGAAAATGCAAACGATAAGCTACTCGTGTGAGGCGATGAAGTTATACATGTAAACTTTGCTTATACTCAACCCCGATAATTTAAAATTTTAAAGTAGCATAGAAGTTGAGTGTTTAGATGTTAAGAATGGATAGCGTTTTTGGTTTATTTTCATTCCAGGAGGTCGTTGAAACCCATAATCATCTTGTAGAAGTGAATTAGCAAAGCGAAGTGGAAACACTTTGAAAATAGTATTAAATTTTCCTAATTTTTATTTATAAAATACTATCTATTTTGTTATTCCCTTTTGAGATTGTAAACTTGTTTGACCACTAATTTTATTTTATGAAAATGAATTTTTTAAATATTTTTGTATATGGTTTTCTAATTTTACTATGGAATAAGAATAAATGAAAAAGAAAACATTTGTGGTCGATTGCATTAATTTGTATTATTTTTCTTTATATTTTTTTTGTTTTACCTTTTTTATTTTATTTTATACAACTTTTGATTTAGCTGTTGTATATGATGTGAAAAACAATAGCCGATTCACTGTAATAAAAAGTATTTTAAGTTAGGTACACACATAAAATCCTAATACTTTTTGATCATTAACATTTGAATATATATTGTCAGATTTGAAGACCAATGAACCATAATAACTGAAAAAAATAATTAGTATTTAAAGAGTACGTTTACAATGATTGTATTGGTATCGAGAGTTTCTTCTGGATGGCCGAACAAAGTTTATATATGCTGCTTGTTCTATCTTCTTCCTGCTTAACCACACATGTCATTTGAATTTTGTTGTTGAAATGACGTTAAAGGCTGTGAAAGAATTATTTGTATCATTCTTTTACCTTTTGGTTAAATAACCACACACTATAATTTAGTTCACTTTTAGTTTCTGTCAACCTAATTTATTTGTTGTTTGTAGAACAAATTCTTGCTTACCGTCTAATGCTGAAAGAATAATTAAAAGTCTTAGGCAGCTGAAGGTTCAGGTCCAAAAAGCTAATGTGTATCTAGGTGTTATTTTGTTTTTCCTTCGTAAAACCTTAAACGAAGAAGTGGAATTGATTTAAATAGCTCTTCTCAACTTTTGGTTACAGGTGGATGGTGGAGAGAAGTACAAAAACCTTATAGTTGAAGTATTAGTGATAATAGTTAATACATCAAACTGATATATTAGATATGTTTACATTCATAAATGAATCTACTGAAGTACTTATGAAAGCCGAAATAAAATACAAATGACAAATGTCTTTGTTGCCGAAGACTACTTTCTACAATGCAACATGAAGATGTAATTTACAGGTATTTGAAAAAGAATTCTGTTAATATACTCTATAAGTTTATAAATAGTACTCTTAGTTTTTGATGATGTAAATATTAAAGCCTTGAATGCAAAAAAGCTGTAAGAGTGTTTTGAGTCTCAATCACTCCTGGTCTATAACACTTGACCTTCGTGGGTCTTCTTGGCAGAGCGACCTTCCTCATGAGCTAATTCCTCTCCTAGTCTACAGTTTTACCGACAGTAATAGGGGCTTCAATTGGATCATCTACGGCCATATATGCCCTTCAGCATCACATGAGTAGGTAAACCTCTTATGTTCTTCCTCAGGTGTCAAAACAGGTGGAGTTCTATTCAAAGCTCCAAAACCATGCATATCATCACCATGGTTGTCATTTACCTACATAAACATGATAAATTTCAAACAATAATCAACTTTGGAATTCTACCAATGATCTATTTATACCAATATATAAAAAGTAATCTTAAATCATTATATTTTAACTTAAATTTCTTTGAAATTCTATCAAGGATTCTATCATGTAATTACCTCCATGACCATGATGAGGTCCACATTTATAAATTAATCTTAAATCATAGTTAAAATTAATAATTTTCAATCAAATAATAAACAACTAAGCTATTATAATAACTATGCAGAGACTACAATCAAATTAATATATCTCCATATGATCAATACATTTTTATTTTTTAACAATATATTCAAAAGTGTTCTAGATTATAAAACCATAGCCAAACCATATCAATATTAGCAATGCGCCGATAAACCAACTGAGGCTCACAATGGTTGTTCAGTTGCACATATATGATAAATTCAGAGGAAAACAACAATCACAGCTATAATGTTCCAAGCGTGAATCAAGATATTTGCCAACTTAAGGTAAACTTAAAATATGAGAAGCTCTAGAACTTAGTATTTAAAAATGTCAGGAGAGAAGCTTAGGACTATACTATAAACAGTGCTAATTTTGCAACTAAAACTAAGAGGAACTACTGGCAAACATTTATAAATAGTTACCAAGTGTGAATCATAAGCTGTCTGAAGCCTTCGGTTAACTTTTGTAAAGCACATCTGTAGACTATAATAGAGAAGATAAATTAACTCAAGACAATAGCATAATAGCATATCAGATTGTAACTTCTCACTTTTGGTTCTACACCAGAGGCAAACAACTTTTTATGCAGGAGCATGGCAAAGCTGTCGAATACACTCAGACATTCACTTGGGTCCCTTCATAGACAAAAGAGTAACACTACTATCCATGTGGAACCCTGAAAATGGGTCATGAAAATTAAAGCTGGAAAGTTGTGATAGACCTTTCAATCATTATGGTTTTCATGTGCGTTGAGTACTATGTTTCTCTTCTTTGAGAATGGTTTTAATAGACATAACTTTTCATACGATATATGCAACAAATTAAACTATGTAGGCTACTTGAAAGGGTATGATATAATATATGGATTATGGAGTTCT